TCACTACATAGCCCATACTGTGATCTTCTTGCCTCAGCCTCCCAAGTACTAGTTAGAATCACAAACTACCATACCCATCAGGAAATTAGTTTGATAGTACTTTTTAATAAGCCCATGAGGCCAATCTATGCACTCCAAGGTAGCTATGAATACGGGCAAATGTATTGCAATATATTTTTGTGTAACCCCATTGTATAGGTATGAAACTTGAACTTTGTAGTTGGCCATGTTTTGTAATATTAAAGGATGAACATTCATGAAAGGGATCTCGCCCTCCAGGGTTCATTTTTTGAACAACTGAGAAGGAAAAGATGAGGCACATTAAGCAAAGTCCTCATTACTTGTCTATTTCCCAAAACTGTTTGTGAATAGAAAGAAATATGGAAAGTAAGACACGACTCCCCATACCACTGTGTTTTATGCTGCATTACTGTAGAAAGCTTTGCTTACACTAACAGTGTGAATTAGCCCTTTGTATTCCACTCAGGTTTTTGCACTCTATGGCTAGGATTAGATAAACCAAAAGTATGCCATTCTTTTCCCAAGTGTGAGAGATCCTTGTAAGGGAAGGGGGGAAAGGGGAGCCAGTGATGCCCAAACTATGCAAGCTCTTTCTTTGGAAGGTGTTTATAGGCCAGTTATAGTCACAGACATTGATCCCCTTTGTTAGACGGAATGACAACAACCTGAGACTGAACCAAGCTGAATGGATCGCTTACCTGGCCTCCTGACTGATGTCAGTTAATGTCCAAATCAAATTGAAAAGATTAGGCAAAGAGGTGGGAAGACAGCAATAAGACAACTTGCAAGTTCTGGCTCCTGGATGACTTAGTGTGGATTTCAGATACTCGTGTGTCACTAGTAGAGGAAAACTTGGCCTGGGATACATTTGGCACTATTTCAGCTGGCCTGTGGTTTACTGGATACCTTACGCGCACTTTCTTGCAAGGTTTGTCCTTCATATCTTTTGTTTTTGCTTTTGTTTGATTAGGATTGTTTGGCTTGGGTTTGGGGGAAGTTTGTGTTTGTTTGCTTTGTTTTTGAAATTTTTAAAAAAGATTTATTTATTTTATTATTATGTATACAGTGTTCTGTCTGCATGTATGCCTGCAGGCCAAAAGAGGACACAGATCTCATTACAGATGGTTTTGAGCCACCATGTGGTTGCTGGGAATTGAACTCAGGACCTCTGGAAGAGCAGGCAGTGCTCTTAACTACTGGACCATCTCTCCAGCCCCTGTTTTTGGAATTTTTGAGACAGGGTCCTGTTGTTTAGCACTGACTTGCCTGGAACTCTCAAGGTAGCCTAGGATGGCCATAAGCTCAGAATGATCCTCCAGCCTTGGCCTCCCTAGTGCTGGGATAACAGGCATGAGACACCATGTCCAGCTGTCTCTCTTAAAACTCTGTGTGTGGATCTGAGTATTTGAGCTCCATGATAGGATGCTGCTAGTAGAAGTAAATGTGTCCAAAGAGGAACAGAAACTGGGTGCCAAATGTGATAGGAATCATATCCAAATGGGAATCAAGGAGAACATCATGGAGGTGGTAGCTCTTGAGTTCAGCCGGGGAGGTAGTTTACAAACATGGTCTTCAGTTGGTTTACATTTATTAAGCAGAGGGACTCTAAGAAGGCACCCCCTAAGGCACGGAGCATCTCTAATATTTGTAAAGATATGTACCACACAGATGTCTTAGGAAAGATTTTCTTAGACTCAACACAAGTGTTTACTGCATAGACTCAGCACTCTGAAGTTAGAACAGTATCAGAGATCACGTGGGCAGATGCTTTACAGGGCTCTATGCTATGACCTATGGGGTCCACACTGTAGAATGGACTTCTGCAGCTTCCATGCAGTAGCCCATCAAGCTTCAGTTCCAAGGGTTTTTATCTCAGCAAGGGACAGCAGTCACATGGACGTTAGACTCTTAGACATTACCCCATACATCCATCATAGATAGGGACTTTGGTTTCTTTGGGTTTTGCAGGTGTTGTATTTGTGTGCCCTCATGTGTTCATGTGTATGTGAGATATGTTTGTGTGTGGTATGTGTTTGCACATGCACACATGTATACATGAGTGTGGAAATCTGAAGCTGATGTCAGTCTTCCTCAGTTGCTCCCCATCTTATTCATCAAGGCAGGAATGCTCAGGTGACCCCAGAGCTTACTGATAATGGTTAGTCTAACCAGTGCTCTTGGCACTGGTGCTTTACCCACCAAACCAGCTCTTCCACCTTCTCATCACTTTTTTCTAGGCATGCCATGCCCAGAAGACAGTGTTCTACCATGTTCCACCCCTTCTTTCTGATCTTGTGTTCTTTCTACCTTCTCTGCTGCCTTGGAGGAGGTGTGATAGGTGTCCCTTTTCGGTTTGAGCATTAAATAATCAAGTCACTTATTCTCAGCAGCTTTTTTCTCAGCTTCATGTTGGATCATTTCTATAGATCTGCTGCCACATTTAAGCCTTTCTTCTGTCATAGCCAGAATCCTATTTAAGAATTTCCATGATTATTTTCTTTGTCTTTTTGTGTAAGTGGCTATATGTATATGCATACATGTGGAAGTCAGGGGTCAGTCTCCGGTGCCATCCGTCTTGTCTTTTGTTTTTGTTTTTTTAAGGTTTATTTATATTTGCTTTATGTGTAAAAAATGTTCGTATACATGTGTATAAGTGTGCCATGTGCATACAGGATACATGAAGGCCAGAAGAGGGTGTTGTCCCCTCAAATTAGAGTTACAGATAGCTGTGAGCATCTATGTAGGTACTGGGAACCTATGTCCCCTGCAAGAACATCAAGTTCTCTTAACTACTAAGTCACCTTTTAGAGCCCCATCTTGTCTTTTGAAGCAGGGCCTTTCGCTGCCCTAAAGTTTAATTATTAGGCTAAACTGACTGGCCAGTGAGCCCCAGGGATCTGCCTGTGTTGGCTTCCCCAGCACTGGCATTATGAGCACAGGCCACCATGCCTCTTTTGTTTTGTTTTGTTTTGTTTTCTGTTGTTTTCATTTTGGGGGATCAAACAGGTCCTCCTGCTTGCACAGCAAGTTCTCTATTGGTTGAGTCATCCCCCAACCCCTCTATGATTTTTTTAGTGCAGATATACTTTTTAATCTCTTGAGTTTCTCTGTTTCCATCTTCTCGACTATCTACCTTAATTTTTACTTATTATGCCAGTGTTTCTCCCTTACAGTTTTGAAAATATTTAATGAAAGTCTCTGTCTGTTACTCCCATCATGTGTGACATTCTGAAGTTAATGGCTCATGTTTTCCTCCTTCATCTGTCTAGTGACTTCCATGTGTGTGCTGAACATTGTGGCTGATGTTTTGTAGAGAGTCTAGAGTGCATTGTATGAGGTTTTACCGCTGCAGGCTGCGAACATGGTCCCTGGTGCACAATTTTGATCCCAGCAGGTCTGATCTCACATTTCTTTGCAGCAGATTAAGTTCAGCTTTGTTCTTTGTTGGTGTCCGGCATAAAAACAGCAGTTGTGTGCTCTCGCTATTCCCATGTTTAATCTTTAGAAACACCTTCTCTCCCTTTATGCTTTCTCTTTAGGAACTGCTCCCCAAAGCTCTTTCCTCAAACAAGACACCAGCCCTACAGGAAGACACAGCACCCCTTGAGAAGGAGACTAAGAGCCCCGAATCTCAGCCCAGTGTCTCCAGTGTGATTGCAGAAATGCCTCAACGGGTTTTTACCTCTTAAGAGATGGCCTGCAAGGGGAGCTCTCACCTCAGCTAAGATTGAAGAGACTGAGGAGGAGGCAGGCGTCTACGGATTCTCTGGTCTACTAACCATGAATACCTTTAATCATGTGAAGTTTTAGCTATTGGGAAAAAAATTACACAGAACAAGAATTAAATACAATAAGTCATCAAACCGATCAGACTTTTCCTCCTATATTATTTGATGAAAACACGCCCCTCTCCCATACTCTTCTTAACTTTAGCTGGGCTTTGCAGGCAGGGTTCTGGGAATCCTTACAGGGGTCATGGAGGCTGCCCACAGCACTAATAACAGGTGTTTCTCTTTGCTGTATGTTACCAGTTTAAAAAAATATTTTCTTTTTTTATTGTGATAAAGCACGTGGCATAAAATTTGTAATTCAGTGACCTTAACACATTCATATTATACAACTATCCCTACCAACCAGCTTCCAAACTCTTCCTTTACCTTGGAGGTCTGAAGCTCTGTCCCATTAAATAACTCTATTTTCCCCTCTGCCAAACCCTAGAGACCATCATTCTACTTTGTCTGGGTTGTTTTGACTATTCCAAGTACCTCATATAACTGGAATCATATAGCAGTTGAGGGAGGGCACCGTAGTTATCCTTAGTGTTCTAGTGGCTAGGATTTAGTTCTGTCACTTGGCATACTGTGTCCTAAGGGGTCACTCACCCTCTCACATGGATCAGAATTTCCTTCCTTTTTAAAGCTGATCAATATTCTACCTTAATATGGAATGCATGGATTGTAAACATTTTTGCATTTAATCATGCAGTGTGGATTTGAGGAATATTTAAGAAGGAAACTGAAGGGGATTCATTTGCTGATAGGAGAAGAAGCTGGGAATGTGGGTCATCCAAGATGGTTGCTAGGTCTTTTGTTGCTAGGTTTTTTGTCCCATGGATGGATGAAGGTAATCTTTCCTTCAGTATAGGACAGAAGAGAACTGTTAGGTTTCATTAGGTATGTGGTACCTAATGAAAGGGACAGGCAGGAAAACACCACAAAAGAGAGCAACCCTGAGATACTGTCCCTACCCCCAACCCCAAGAAAAGTCAAAGACCCCAGGCCAGCCTTGGCTTCTCTGTAAGATGCTATATCAGGAAGAAGAATTGCTATTTATCTGAAGGGACTTCGGATCTCTCTCTCTCTCTCTCTCTCTCTCTCTCTCTCTCTCTCTCTGTCTCTGTCTCTCCTCCTCCTCTCCTGTTTCTTCCTCTACCTCTCTGTTTATCTATATATAATATAAATGTACTTATGTATTTAGTGTTGTACTTTTGTGTATGTGTGGATACATGAGACATGGCACACATGTGGGGTCAGAGAACAACTTTGAGGAGTCAGCTCTCTCCTTCTACCATGTGAGTTCTGTGGATGGAACTTGGGTCCTCTGGTTGTCTTGGGAAGCACTTTTACCCTACTAAGCCATCTCATGGATCCAATCTTACATATGTTTAAGCCTATATGAAAATGTCTGCTAAACATAACTTGGAATTGTATAATGGAATTTTGATCAAAGTGTAGCATATTTTTGCAAATTATTACAAATCCTATATATGCTGTATTTCAAAGTAATCATTTCCATTGACCACTGTTTTGTATGGTCCCTACCCTTGCAAATGATAAAGTACTGTGAGGTTATCCCAGAAAAATATTAAATTTTGCATTTTAGTTTTACATTAATGCGAATTGAAGCAAAAGAAAACAAAATGGTACTTACTTTTTGGTGGTAGTACAAAGCCAACTCAGAATGCTGTTATGAATATTTCTTAGAGATTTTCAAGCTTCATCTTCTGTGCTTGATAGTCTTATGTCAACTTGACACAGATAGAGTTATCCGAAAGGAGGGAGCCTCAATTGAGAAAATGCCTCCTTAACATCCAGATGTAGGGTATTTTCTTAATTAGTGATTGATGGGGAGGGCCCAGCCCATTGTGGGTGGTGCCATCCCTGGACTTGTGGTCCTGGGTTCTGTAAGGAAGCAGGTTGAGCAAGCCATGAGGAACAGGAATAAGCAGCTCCCCTCCATGGCCTCTGCATCAGCTCCTGCCTCCAGTTCCTGCATTGCTTGAGTTCCTGTCCTAAATTCCTTCAGTGATATAGAAGTATAAGCCAAATAAACCCTTTCCTCCCTGGCTTGCTTTGGTCATGGTGTTTCATCACAACAATAGAAACCCTAAGATACTTTTCATTAGAAAGCAAGCTCCCTGTGGAACTAGTATTCATTGTCTAAAGGTGTATCCAACCTCCAGAACTCAGACAAGGGACACACCAGGCCATGCAAGATTTAGAACAGGCCTTCCATCTTAATATAGAATAAAAGGTATATTAACTTTCACTGAATAACAAATACTACCACCTAGCTGCTTAGAAATATATGCATTGGAGTTATTAAGCCATAGGACCAAGCAGCTTATGGAATCATGAGGTAGAACCATAGCGTTGTCCATGGCAACCATCTTATCAGAGACTTGAGGTTCACCTTTTCACACTTACAGGAATCTCTCTTGCTGGCAGCTTCTGGGGTCTGTCACTCCCTATGCTGAGTCCTCTCTAGAGAATTCTGTTTGCTCCTTTGTGGCCAGCAGGAAAACCTCTTTGATTCCCTTTATGGGTTCACCTGATTAGATCAGTTTCACCCACAACAGTTTCCACATTTAAATTTTTCTTTATCATTTTCTTCTTTTTGAGATAGAATCTGATGTATCCCATGATGGACTTGAACTCAATGTGTAAAGAGGACGATCTTAAACTTTTTATGCTCTTGTTTCTACCTCCTGAACACTTTAATTACAGACATATGCCATCATACCCAGCTTTTTTGGTGCTGTGGAATCAAACCCAGGACTTCATGTTTACTAAGCAAGCACTCTACCAACTGAGCTACATCCCTAGACCAGCAATTTCACTTTTTCAATAAACTCAAAGTCAGTGGATTTTAGCTCAGCTATGGCTATGATATTCCATGCTGTTCACCAGCTCTACACACACACATACACACACACACACACACACACACACACACACAAGGAAGTAAGAATCCCACTGCCATCTCAGAGTCCTGCACTAAACAATAAGCTTTTCAGAAAGCAAAGGACTGAGAGTACCATTGACTCTGGAATTCAATGACCAGAGTCAATGGGGCTCGTGAACCAGAGGAGCCTTCACTGAGCAATGATGATCAAAGAACCCGTGGGTTGAAGTATGAATGGATGGAGAAGGGAGATTGGACTAGCAGAGCACCCTGGGGAAAATTGACCTCAAACAAAGAGCAAATAGATATATGCAGTGGGGGAAAGTGGGAGCTTGCTCAGGGCAGGCTGCTTGGGAGATAACAAAATGGAAATAAGGAGAGCTCAGTTGGAGGTTGGAAAAGCTAAATTCCTACTGTGAACAGCAAGAACCTTTTCACTAAGAAATGCTCCTTACCTTGTGAGCTTTTAGAATAATCGCAGCCTTTTCAAACCCATGCCACTCTTTCTTAACCAGGAGTCCAAGCTAAAAGTATCACCTTTACATTCCTAGGTTAAAGTTTAGAAACCATAATTCAACCTCTTCATTTTCTAAACTTGCCAAAGATCTATCAACTAGCACATGGTACCCATCCATAGGATAAAGTCTGAGTTGCTTCAAATGGCATGCAAAGATCTTTTTAAATTTTCTATTAGAAATATACTAGTTATCATAAGAATGGGTTTCACTATGACATTTTCATAATGTATTTTGGCTATATTCACCTGCTATTACCCCATTTTGTCCTCCAACTCCAGCTGATTCCTTTCTTCTTTCCAACTAGTCCCCCTCTACATTCTATAAAAATTATTCCATAGAAGGTTTTGGTGTATGGAGGGAGTTACATGTGTTGACAGTTTCTCGGTAGCTCAGGCTAGCCTTGAAGTCAATTGTAGCTTATGTTGCCCTTACACTATTTTCCTGTCTCAGGTTCCTAAGTGCTCCACACTTGGCTTAGCTTATGTTAATGATAAAATACAAATAGCTTTCCCACTAACATTATGAACAAGGTAAGGATGCCCCTTTCACCGGACTCCTTTTCAATATCATTGCTGAAATCATAGCTAATACAATAAATAAAAGAAAATAAGTATATACAGATGCACATTTGTAATGCCAGTGTTTGGGAAGTTGAGGGAAAAGGATCATAAATTTGAGACCAGATTTGAGTTATATAGTGAGTTTCAGGCCAGCCTTAGATACATAGACTCTGTCCAAGAATTCAGTTGTGCAACTGATTAGCTTGTGGCACTTATGTGAGAGACCTGTTTCAAATAAACAACAAAAGTACACCAATGCACTTTTTGGGGAAAGATGAAGTCAAATTGTCTTCCTTCAAGACGCCCCAACTATTGGTGTAGAAATTTAAAACAAAGAACAAAAGATTCTTGAAATTGGCTGGGTGGTGGCCTTTAATCTCAGCACTTGGGAGGCAGAGGCAGAGGCAGACAGATCTCTGTGAGTTCGAGGCCAACCTGGTCTACAAAGTAATTACCAGGACAGGCTCCAAAGCTACACAGAGAAACCCTGTCTCAAAAACAAACAAACAAACAAACAAAGCTCTTGAAACTGATTAGCAGTTTTCAAACAGTTACAGGGTGCAATGTCAATACTGAGACCAATCATATCCCAAGTTTCAACAATTATCACAAAAATCAAAATTAAACCATAATATTTAAGTACAAGTCACACACACACACACACACACACACACACACACACACACACACACACACACACACAGTTATATGAAGAAAACTACAGGGCTCCAATGAATGTAGTCAACTAAATGCAGAAACCTATTTCATGGAGAGGAAGATTGAATGTTGTGAGGTTACCAGTTACTATCAATTTTATAGAGCCAGTGCAATTAAATAAAAATAGCAGAAAACAAGTGTTTATTAGTAAAGTGGTTCTGAGGTACCTATGGAGAAGCAAAAATCTCCCAAAAGCTTACACAATCCCAA